TTTTGAGATTCACCGACAATAATGTTTGTATTAAAATCTTCTTTATCGTCAAGAAGTTTAAGATAATTACTCGAAAGCTCTTCAAAGAATTTTATTGCCATCTTAAAAAAATTTTGATTATGGAGTACAATAAGAATAATTTAATAACAATTATACAAAAGATGTAAATGTACAAAAAATTATCATTTATGTACGTACGTACGTATTATGAGTCACCAATTGTACACATATATAGTATTTTTAAGCACAGTGAAGATCTAGCCTTAAGTTAGATTTGTTATCCTCATAGTAGCAAAATATTGCTACGTAGTTTATTTCTATGTTAAGGGAATTTGAATTATAGATCGTTTATTTTATTGAAATTGACAACTTAACGATAAGAAATTTGTTTTTAATGTGCTCTAGTCGTGCATTATTGCTATATCGATATAGAGTTTTAATTTATTATACCAGTTTATAGAATTGTAAACTGATTTACAGCTGTTAAAGAGTACGTACGTAATACAAATAGTTATGGTGTATGAGTGAGCAAAGAAGTTGTGTATAATACGTATATTAAATCGTCAAACACATGCGTATTGTTGGTAAGGTCTCAATTGTGTGTATATAAAAACAAACCTATATAATTTATTACTTTTGTAGCCATTTGGCGTGTCAAATAAGCAATAACTAATTAACTGTATTAATTAATGCTTATTCACACCAAAAGAATCGTTACTCCTCTATTCCAATTGGAAGGGTCACTTATAGTAGACTGAATCTACTTTAATAGTTTGGGCCCGTGATTTATGTTTAATATAGTAGTTAAATAGCAATAAGCAATAATCGTTGTTTTTTCCTTCAAAAAGATTAAATCGTTATTTAGTTTAAAGGATACATATTAGTTCTGATGAGGAGTCTATTTTTATCGATTAATAGTTTTTCTGATGATGAAAATTGTTCAAAGAAAATAATTCTTTTATTACTAATAAAAATGAAAAAAAATTGAAAATAATTCTTTTTTATGAAAGCTTTAATGCTGCAATTAGAATGTTAGATTTTAGTTGCCCAAAAATTACCCTGAAAATCAAGTGTAATTGTATGTGAAAAAAAAACAGTCTGCAATAAATTAAAGAATCAAATTAATAAAGCAGATTACTTTTTGTACTGTTAAAGACATCAATATATGCAAAAATTTTTTCTATGAAAAAGTATTCTATGGATGTACAGTTAGGGTGTTCAATAAACTAATTAATCAAAACATAGTTAAGGTCATTAAGTTCGGATTTTTTAAAGGATTATTTCACATATGAATTTATATATGGATTTGTACTAATTTAGGTACATTTTACTACATAAATAACAAATAAAATTGTATCATATATTTTTTAAAACTGTAGTTCTAGACTAGCTCTACACTGAAATAGAACCGGTTTTTTTAATAACCGGTGTTAATTATTAATAAAAATTAAAACAAAATTTTATTAAAAGTTATTAAAAAACCGGTTCTATTTCAGGGTAGAGCTAGTCTAGAGCTACAGTTTAAAAAAATATGATAAAATTTTGTCTGTTATTTGTGTAGAAAAATGTACCTAAATTAGTGCAAATTCATATATAAATTCATATGTGAAATAACCCTTTAAAAAATCTGAACTTAATGACCCTAATTATGTTTTGATCAATTAGTTTATTGAACACCCTAATGTACAGTATATGGGCTGCCGTCAATAGAAATAAGATTGACATTTTAAAAAAAAATCAATACCTTAATTTTCACAGCTCATAACTCAATGAATATTGAGGATATCTTAATGATTAATGGCAAAAGAATCTTGTGATCTAAGCTTTCTTTTGAATATTAGATCATTAAGGTAGTGGCATATGTAAAAAATTCATACTCAGTTATATTTATTATATGGGATCTTTGCTAGGAAAATCACCTTTTGGGAATTTCCGATCACGCTAATTCGGAAAAGTTATGCCGGTTCTTATTCATATGTAAAACATCTTTTTACTTTACTGATTCGACAGTTTATTTAATAAACTATCGAATAAATAAAGCAAAAGTGATTTACATATGAATAAGAACTGGCATTCTGGTCTAAGCTTTTCCGAATTAGTCCGATCAGAAACCCCGAATGGCGATTTCCCAGCAAAGATCCCATATACAGAATTTATCATTAATTATATTTTATTATATACAGAATTTTACAAAATTGATACTTAATTATATTTAATGTATACAGAATTTATATAATTTAAATCATTAATAAAAAGTTTACATATAAAATTCCGTATCAAGTGATGCGGAATTCGACTTCAATTCCGTATATTTGCATACGGAATTTTATATGGAATTTTATACAGATTTTATACAGATTTTATACGGAAAAATTTTAGTATTAATTCAAGATAATTTCAGTATATATTTTTTCATAGGGATTGGCTTGCATCAAAATTCGATAACTTTAATTAAAAATAAAAGAAGTCTAGAAATATAGCTTTAAAGCTGCATTATTTATGTAGATAATTCTAAGATAGTAGAACTTGATTTACTTGGCTGGTAGAGAAGTTAAAATTTTAAAGGTTGCTATAAAAACCTAATATTAATAATAAAGTATATTGTGTTGCACTAGAAATTTACAGAAAGTTCCTAAGGACGTGCAAATTCATGTGATAGGTTATTTACTTAACAGTTAGGGAATTTGGAAGCTACGGTACGCAGATTGAAGATGATTATTTCCAATAATAATTAAATAATTGGTAATCGATCAAAAATTGAATTAATATCCAGATAATTCATTTTCACATGATTATTTCATAAGCAATTTCATGATGTTTGCAAAAATAGTTAAATAATTGGTAATCGGTCAAAAATTGAATGAATTTTCGGATAAATTCATTGAACATTCGATACCTAATTTGTATTTACTTTTTTTATTTTAAATTAAAGATTAGTATTACAATGTTAAACATATTCAAATTTTCATGCTTAGTATATAAATCTTTAAAATTTTTTTTTTTTCATCATTTGACGTCGAAATTAAATCCTTGCTATTCATAAATTATTCCACTGTTGTTTTTTTTTCTCACTTCATAAAAAATGGCATCATCTCAAGGGTCGCTAAAAATATTCCAAATTTTACAAAATCCTATACCACAATATGTATTAGGCTCATTGCCAGCTATTCTAACAATAGGAGCAACTCCTCATAAAACTTTATTAGCAAAGTTCCTATGGTTTGTACGATGTCTTGGTTGCCCATTTGCAGGATTATTTTACTTCTGCAACATAGAGAGTAACTCAATTGAAATGAGCGCATATTGGCTTGAATCAGAGAATTTTATTCAGAAAATGAATAATATTAAAAATAACAACGACGAAAATGACAATGATAAAGACGATGATAAGGACGATGATAATGATGATGACGATGTTGACGATGTTGATTGGAAAAAAGATGGTAGCAGAGATGACGAAGACCGCGAAAATGATAACAAAATTAATGAAGAAAGTAGCGAAAACTCTACCAATAACAAAATAATCGATGTAGAAAAGCAAGATTTTCCTAGACCTTTTGGACATCATGCTATGAAGATAAAACCTAATAAATCTCAGAACCGTATTTTGAAAGACTGGGTTTCAGAAGCCTCTTTATTAGATAGGTTATTATTGATTGTTTCCGCATATTACATAATACTTGGTATAGCTGCAGGAATATCTAAAGCAGCAGGACCGTGTACGAATGATACATCATTACAGGATTGGCCATACATACCAATACTATTTATTTGGACATTACCTGTAATTTTTGTTAGAATAAGAAGTGGAAAAGTTGTGAATAAAGTGTTACCAAAGCGTTTAAAAAGTAGAATAACTATAGTAAGATATAATACAGCAAATGTTAAGACAAATCGTAATTGGACTTTCATTATCTTTTGTGTTTCGTTTTTTCTTCCTTGGTTAACTGTAATTATAGCATATTGGACTCCTCCAGTCGGATTTTATTGTAGGAGTAAATTTCTGACAATTATATGTTCTATATGGTCAATTAGCAGTATTGCTGCATATATAAGTCACATAAAAGGGGAAAAAGATGTTCATGGTCCAATTAGTATAGTGTTTAGTTTTTTTGGTGCAGTGATAGGAGGAGGCATGATTTTTTTAAGCATTCTTGCAAATAACAATTCATTATGGATAACCCTATTTAGCGATAATTGCTATGTTCCACCACCTAATTGTTAACTAGTAGTTAAGTAATGTTTTGCATACTTTTCTTAATGGATTCTTAAAATACTGATATTTATTGTTAATTAAATTCTCTCATACATTGTGCATATGTACAGTATTAATTAATTTAATAATTTTATATTATGATCAGGGTTGGCACGGACCGGTCAATGGTCAAGCTTGACCAGACCAGTTTGACCAATGTGACCAGTTGGTCAAAGAGTTTAGTATTGGTCAAATTGGTCAAAGGATATTTAAATATATAGTATACATACATATATATATATATATATATATATACTTTGTATACTAAATTTATTTATTTAATAGACTAGGCAATTTGACCAATTTGACCAGACCAGTTTGACCAACGAATTTTTGGTTGACCAGTGATTTGACCAACCCTGATTATAATATAATTATTAGTAATGAATTTTCATATTAGCTTAATAATTTAAAATTACGATTGATATTTTTTTTTAAAAAAGGTTTTCTAAAGGAAGTTTACTATTTTATTCATTATCTAGCAATGAAAATAAAAATTAATAATAAAAAATAATAAGTAAAAAAATAAAAATAAAAAAAGAAATGCAACACCTTTAAATAAATACAAACCTTCTTTTTTTTGAAATTACATAAAATGTGCTTTGACTTTTTTTAAAAATAATATTTAAATACATGTAATTAGCAAAATTTATTCGCATTACGTTGAAGCAGTGATACAAAATGACTCTCCAGAGCATAATTTGATTGGTTTAGCAGAGCTATTTAACGGCTTGGTTTACTAACAGCTTAGCTAGTTAATGACTCAACTTGTGTTATATGGAACCATTATCCAATCATAAAGTTTCAGTTAGCTGACAGAAAAATAATTCTGGCAGATTTTTGACTTTTGACTTTGTCGAAGTTAAATTTGGCAGAATTTTAATAAAGACCTGTTCATACATAGGCTAAGTTAACTGGTAATAAATTTTATTAATACAATTCATAGGCACGGCTCTTGTTGACTCAGCTAAAGAATGACTTGACTAAGGGTGTTCTCAAGTAGCACATTCAATTAATTAGATAATGATCGTAATGGTGCTCAACCGTTATGTAAAATTTAATTATATCTTCATTAAAAATCAGTA